TTCCCCCCCAAATCCCACCTTCCCCCCCAAATCCCACCTTCCCCCCCTCTTTGCCCGCCCGGGGAGGGGAGGGATGGGAAGTTTTGGGGGTGCTTTCCAAACTAACCCACCTCTCCGTGTGGGGGCCCAGCAAAGCCCCGTCCTGGCCTGTGCCCGATGGATCGAGGGCAGGAGGGACAATTCCCAGGGGATATTTTCCTGATGTTGGGGTTTTGTTCATAACCAGGCCCAGACAGAGCGATTTCCTCCAAAATTCCAACCCCCCCTCAATTCGGGTCTCCCAGGAGCCGCTCTCAGCACTGGAAGGGCCAAAGCCCTTTTGAATTCCCGGTTTCCTTGGTAAAGGAATGCACCGGCGGGGGAGCTGCTTCCCGAAAAGGGGCAGCACCAACAAAACCGGGATGGAGGAGGGGGATGCTTTGTGCATCCCACGGGACAAGCCCTGGCGAGCCGGGACGGGTCCGGACACGCCGGCACCGCGATTCCCACCACAACGGCACCCCGGGAGCAGGGAATGCTGAGGGCGGGGGTTGTACAGCCGTGGGTTTGGGGTTAGAAAGGGGGGTTTGGGGTTAAAAACATAGCTTTGGGGTTAAAAAGGTGGTGGTGGGATTAAAAGGGGAGGTTAGGGTTAAAAGGGGGGGGTGGGGTTAGAAAGGTGAGGTTTGGGTTAAAAAGGTGGGTTTGGCGTTAGAAAGGAGGGTTTGGGGTTAAAAAGGTGAGGTTTGGGGTTAGAAGGGCAGGTTTGGGGCTAAAAAGGTGAGTTTGGGGTTACAAAGGTGAGTTTCGGGTTACAAAGGCGGTTTTGAGGTTAGAAAGGTGAGGTTTAGGGTTAAAAGGGCAGGTTTGGGGTTAAAAGGGCAGTTTGGGGTTACAAAGGCGGGTTGGGAGTTACAAAGGTGAGGTTTGGGGTTGGAAGGGCGGGTTTGGGGTTGGAAGGGCGGGTTTGGGGTTGGAAGGGCGGGTTTGGGGTTACAAAGGTGGGTTTGGGGTTACAAAGGTGAGGTTTGGGGTTACAAAGGTGAGGTTTGGGGTTACAAAGGTGAGGTTTGGGGTCAGAAGGGTGGGTTTTGATGCCCCACCCTCTCGCTGATGGCGTTGTACTTGATGGCCAACTCATCGCGCTCCGCCCGGCTCTGGGCCAACAGATCCTCCACCCGGGACAGCTCCTGCTGCAGGATCCTGTTCTCCTCCTGGAGGGACAGCAGCGAGGACATGGCCCTGCAGGATGGGGCCGGATGGGATCCAGCCTCGGGACGGAGCCAAGGCCCCCTTTGCTCCCGGGAGCTGCCTCGTTCCCTCGGGAAGGGGCTGCGCCTCCCCCGCGCGCTCTGGGAGCAGTTTGACCCCCTGGGCTGGAAACGCCTCCCTCCCACAACTTGGCCATGCCAAGGGATGCCCTTTGGGATGGGAGGACTGCTGGAAACGCACAGCTGTGGTCTCAAAGCCTCTGAAAACTCGCAGTTGCCACACTCAGACCCCCAAACCCGCTGCAGACTCAGAGCTGTGCTCACAGAACCACGGGAAATTTGTTTTTGGGACCACAAACCCACTGCAAATCCATCACAAAAGGGCTGCAGCTCTGCAGCTGTGATGGCAAAACAGCTGCAGACGTGTTTGGGGATCCCCAAACTGCTGCAGGGTCACGTCTGTGACGGCAAAACTGCGCCAGAGTCGCAGCTGTGATCACCAAAAGTGCCACAAATTCACACTTATGATCCCAAACCCGCTGCAAATTCCTGTTTGTGACCCCAAACCCGCTAAGATCTGTGGCTGGGGTCACAGAAGTGCTGCAGATTTATAGTTGCAATCACCAAACTGCCACAAAATTTGCATTTATGATCACAAAACTGCTGTGAAATCATGTCTCTGACAGCAAAACCACTGCACATTTAGAGTTGGGATCACAGCTTTGATCCCAAAACCCTGCAAATCGCTGTTTGTGACCCCAAACCCGCTGCAGATTTAGAGTAGCTCCCATAAGACTGTCAGAAATCTGCATTTATGATCCCAAAACACTGCAAATTCCTGTTTGTGACCCCGAAAGTGCCGCAGATTTACAGTTGGGATCACAAAAGTGCTGCAGATTTATAGTTGCAATCACCAAACTGCCACAAAATTTGCATTTATGATGATGAAACTGCTGCGAAATCATGTCTGTGATCATGAAACCACTGCAGATTTGTAGCTGCAATCACAAAACTGTCACCAATTTCCATTTATGATCCCAAAAACTCTGCAGATTTGCAGCTGGAATCACAAAAATGCTGCAGATTTACAGTTGGGATCCCAAAATCACTAAAAATTCCCGTTTGTGATCCCAAACTCGCTGCAGATCTGGAGTTAAAATCACAAAACCCGCTGCAGGTTTATAATTGCAATCAGAAAACTGTCACAAAATTGCACTTATGATCCCCAAAACTGCTCATTTCCAGTGCAGTCCCCAAAAATGCTGCAGATTTACAGCTGCAGTCCCAAAACTGCCACAAAATTTGCATTTGTGATCCCAAAATCTCCACGAATCCCTGTTTGTGATCCCAAACCCGCTGCAGATTTACAGTTCCTATCACAAAACCACTGCAGTTTTATAGTTGCAATCACAAAACTGCCACAAACCTGCAAATATGATCCCCAAAACTCTACAGATTTCCAGCTACAATCACAAAAGTGCTGCAGATTTACAGTTGGGATCCCAAAATCACGAAAAATCCCTGTTTGTGATCCCAGAGCCGCTGCAGATTTGCAGCTGGCATCACAAAAGTGCTGCAGATTTACAGCTGCAGTCCCAAAACTGCCACAAAATTCGCATTTGTGATCCCAAAACCTCAGCAGAGTTCCAGCTGCAATCACAAAATCACTGAAACTTTGTGTTTGTGACCCCAAAAGTGCTGCAGATTTACAGCTGCAATCCCAAAACTGCCACAAAATTCGCATTTGTGATCCCCCAACCTCCGCAAATTCCCGTTTGTGATCCCAAACCCGCCGCGGGTTTGCAGTTCCTTATCCCAGAGCTGCAGATTCCCGGTCACAATCCCCAAACTGCTGCAGATTTTGGCACTTCCTGATCCCAAACCGCTGCAGGATTTCCAGTCGTGACCCCCAAACCGCCGCGCGTTCGTATTCGCAGCCCCGAACCCGCCCCGATTCGCCTCCGCGACCCCAAATCCCAGCACAAAAGGCCCCTTTATCCCAATCCCGCTGCCCGGGCGCCACTCCCGGTGCCATTCCCATTCCCATTCCCGATGCCGCGCTCCCGCTCCGTGGCTCCGCAGGGGGGGACACGGGGACCCCACCTCAGCCTCGGGCTTCTCGGAGCATCCAAGTTGCCCTCGGCACCCCCTTGGCGCGGCCTCTTTGTCCCGACGCCCCTTTTCCTGGGATTTTGGGCTGTTTCCACCCCTTTCCTGGGAGTGGAAAGCGGATGCGAGGTCGGGATTAGCCCGAAATCCCGCCGTCCCCTCCCTGCGTGACGGCGGGAGCGGGGACCCTCCTCTTCCTGGGGGGGTCCCAACGCCTCCGACACCAACATTCCACCGTCCTCCTCCAAAAATATCCCTCGGCATTCCCGGGCTTTGGAAATAAACCCACCCCGAGGCTCTCGGCGAGAAGGAGGAAAATGAAAGAAAACATAAACAGATACCAACCCCCCGGCGCTTCCCGCGGGCAAAACGGGTGGGAAAGTCCCGGCTCGGCGGCGGGATGGAGATTCCAGCAGGGAACGGAGCTCCTTGGGAAGAGGCAGCCGCTCCCCTCGTTAAGCCCCGGCGCTCATTAAGCTCATTAACGCCCCGGGGTTCGCTCCGGCAGGAAAAGCTCCGGGGAGGAGCGAGCCGGGGTTGCCAAGGGGTGAAG